TGTGTGTGTGTGTGTGTGTGTGTGTGTGTGTGTGTGTGTGTGTGTGTGGTATATGAGTAAACAGGCCTCTGTAGATGCCAAGTTATTTTCTCTTCAAGGGTTGAGCTTAATTCAAGAAGCCATAAATTAGATAAATTCGAGTTAACCCAGTACAACTTTCTGTAGCAAATTGAGTGTGGTAGAAGACATTTAAGTTTGAGCATCATGGGCTTGTGATCTCAAAAACTTAGTAAATGTTAGGAAAAGCACTAAACTTAGGAGGTAGTTGAAGTTGCTAAAACTCCCAATTTTAAAATGAGCGTGTCATAAATGATAAAGGCCTACAGTTTGCCGTGTTCTAAAACATTTAGTCCTCATATGTATTCACGGAAACTCCCAAGCTAGAAACTAACAGTCTAAAGAGTATGTTTACTTTAAAAAATAAAATTCTGGAGGAGTGGCTCCTTTAAATGCTATCTGACAAAAAGAAAATGGGTCTGTATAGAGTTCTCCGTGTCTTCAAATCAGAAATATGTTTTCATTGTCGGTAGCGCAGCTGTCTCTGGAGATCCCCGGGTTTGAGTTAAAGGAAAGCTGTCACTCGAGCAGCAGAGGGTGTGTGAGGAGCTCTGATCCCTGTGTATTCTCTATCAGTCTTACAGGCCAGTGGCTGCCTTCGCTGTCCTGCTCAATGTTGCCCCAACCCCACTGCCACTTCCATGCCAGGATAGCATCCTCCACCAAGCCAAGCCCCCAACCCCCATGCCAACCCTTACAGGCTGCCCTGTAGGTCAGGTCGCATCCTGCTGATTTGTGATCAAGCAGATAATGGTATATTTGCTCACACGTCCACATATAGCACGTTGAGTATGTTTTGAAATTTGAATTGCAGTCACGTCCCATTTCTAGAACTTCTCAACAAGTGACATCAGCTCGTGGGCATCTTTTGCTTTGGCAGCAAATGTGAGGTCTGCTGGCAGCCGGCAGACCAGCCTTGTCTGTGTTCACGAGCCGTGGGACGTTCTGACACTAAAGAAGGTTGCACTTCTGCCCCGTGTCTTACCTGAAAGGGCTGGGTTCTTCTCTGTTTTTGAAATAGGAGGAACTAGCCAGCCTCGTGTTTGGGAAACTAAAACACGTGACTTTTCCTTTGCTTATAATTTCAGGGAAATACTAGGACAAAGCTGTAGCTGAGCAGTGGTGAGATGAGAAGCAAGACATAAAATAGTCAAAACTATGCAAAATAGACCTGAGGAGAGGCTGCAACCACTAGTTACTGCCTACATGCTTATGCCTTGAGCTACGGTAGAGCTTTAGTATGTATGTATGTAGGTAGGTAGGTAGGTATCACCAGGAGAGGCCAATGAAACATAACTGTATGGGAATTTAAATTGGAGTGTTAAGTATTAATTTCTAATAATTACAAATGACTACATCATTTACATTAGCTGATGTTTGAGATGTCGTTTTATTCCCTTTGCTAACAGTTAGGTCTTGCTTATGAATTAACTACTTAACAAGCTTACTAAAATCTATAATTAAAAATTGGTCATACCTATTACTTGGTAACAGTTGTTGCTGTAAAAATGCACCTAATTTTGGTGAATAAAAAAAAAGTGTTCATGTTTTAAACAAAGTTTTCAATTTTTTTCTGGCTTGAAAACCATCTGATTATGACAGTATTGTCATACAACGTTCGTGAAGCTTGCTACTATTTTATTTATCTATTAGTGAAGGCCAAAGGTCTTCCTGAGCATGACCATGATTAAGTTAAAATTTGAATTAAACTGTTAATTCAGAAATAAGTTTTAAAGGAAAGCCTGTATGTAAAATGTTCAACTGAAGTCTGTTTTCATCAAATTTTATTTGCTTTTGTTTACAATGAAAATACTTCCTATGAAGTTTTTTTTATTTTTATTTTTTATTTCAGTGGCTGGGGATCCCTGTTACACTGTAGAGAAAGTGTAAATCTTTTTTTTTTTTTTTTCCTAGATGGATAAAAATGTTTTAAGGAATTAGCAGAACAAATACAAGGCAGCTACCCATTAGTAAGATGTGCTTAGAAGGCATTCCTTTTTTTTTTTTTTTTTTTTTTTTAAAGAATTAGGTTCATTTTATGTGTATGAATGTTTTCTTTGCATGTTTATGAGTGTGCTGGCTGCAGTGGCTGGTGCCCAGAGAGGCCAGAAGACAGGGTCCTTGCAAGTGTAGTTACAGACAGTTGTGAGCTGCCATGTGGGTGCTGGGAATTGATCTGGGGACCTCTGCAAGAGCAGCAAGCGCTCTTAATTGTTCAGCCGTCTTTCCAGGCTAGAAATGACTCTTGGTAAGTTTAGAAGTTACAACTGTCTGGATGTAAACCAGCCAGATCCAGAGAGTGAAGCCGTGAATGGGTGCAGGATCGCTGGCTTACGCAAACAAAGAGAACACGTGTGCAGCCGAATGCCTCCTAGGATAGGAATAGTGTGTCTTTGAGGACGTGGCAGTGCCTTCTTGCACTAAGTCACTGGTGTAAGGCACCTGCTGCCAGGCTGCTTGAAATGGGGAGCTGCAGCAGCACAGAGCTCTGCCTAGGTGGCCTGAGACAACACACACACACACACACACACACACACGCACGCACGCACGCACGCACGCAGGAACGCCCACTGAATGTGCGCTTTCATGAATTGTACATGAGTATAACATGAGGTAGAAAAAAGAGACCATTGAGAAAAGGGAATGTACACAGTCCGGGAATGGCTTGACTGTCCCTCTGATAGAAACTTGTTCTCTAAAACACGCCTTCTCAGTTCACAAGGCTCAATGTTTTCAGTAGTGTGGAGAGACACACACGAATGTAGTTCTCGGCTGAGCCAGCATTCTCACGGTCGCTTCTGCCAGAGCCCACCACTTACATCTCCTTAGCTCAGGATTCTGTTGCTGTGGGGTCAAGAGAAGATTAAAGCCACACAGCTTTTAGTTTTAATCAGATTCAAAAACATCTGATCGAGTGATTCCCCTTTGTCACATATTTTCTAAACCGCTATCACTCCTTCACCTGCTTTTTAAAAATATCTTCTGGCACATGTGCCAGTGTTTAATGAAACAAACCCAACGAGTAAATAGTACAATAGTAGATACGAGCCAGGAATTGATAAACTGCCTCCGTGGAACTCGGGGAGGTGGCAATAGATTGTTTTGCTTTTTTAAGTCTCACCCGTCAGGTCTTTTGCAACTCCCTGAATTTCAAGGCTTCTTTGCTTACCAGTGATTAAAAGTGACAGGAGATGAAGAAGATGAACTATGAATGTGACTTTAAGCAGATTCTAAATAAGCATTTTTTTTTTAATTGTAGGCATGCATTTCATTGTGTTTCAACTCCCCCCGTATACCCTGCAAAAAGTGTCTCGGACCTCAAACCTCACGTGACAAGCTCACCGCTACAGAGTTCTGACGCTGTCATCATCCACCCTGGAGCCATGCTGGCCATGCTGGACCTCCTGGCCTCTGTGGGCTCGGTGGCACAGCCGGAAGTAAGTTCTCTTCCTGCCCAGTGAACGAAAGGAAAGTGTGTTTACCTGAGGAGTCAGGGCCAGGGAGAGCATGCAGTGTCGCTGACCTATCACACCCACGCAAGGAAACCCCTGTTTGAGCCCTGCCTTCCAGACATCAGCTATGTTCTTGAATACGGTTTGTTTCCACTGGGGCCCAGGTGGTTGCTTCTTCGAGACTCAGTGTTTCCCCTGGTAAATCCAGTGGCGGCAATGGCAGAGAGGTGATCCAGAAGGAAAACTGCCTACAGATACCACAGTGGGCCTTCTCATCTGTTCTGTCTTGGGGCACTCAAAAGTTTGGGTTGCTTAGAGCTGGGGTGACTATTTTTGTTAAATGTTGTATGACTTCACGGGTGCGAATGACGAGCTTCCTTAAAGCTAGTTATCTATCACCATGAGAAAGAGTTGACACCCTGTATCTGGCGGTACGTAACTTTAATCCCAGTGCTGGGAAGGCAAAGCAAAGCCAGCCTCTGAGTTGTTGGCCAGCCTGGTCTGTGTGGTAAGTTCCTGGCTCCATAGTGAAGCCCTGCCTTAAAAAGGAAAGGGGACGTCACACCTGCTGTTTTTTCTGTGGAAGTAGAACCATCATTTGTGTCATTCAAAGACTCCAAGGAGAATAGAGTTCAGTCAGATGTGAGCGGAGCAAAATCAAAACTAGGGATTTCTGCCTGACCTTCTTCGTGAATTGCTATGTTTATTGCTTTGAGCTAATTTATGTGAATGTGTTTTCGAGTAACTAAAACCTCATGCTACAAGTGGTGCTTCCCATAGGAAGAACTGCCGCCTCGTCACTAAGGATGCCCTGGGGCATGTATCTCTTTGTTAACTTTAGCACGCTTTGGACCTTCAACTTGCCGTGGCCAATGTTTTGCAATCGCTGGTGCACACAGAGAGAAACCAGCAAGTCATGTGTGAAGCTGGTCTTCACGCACGGCTGCTGCAGAGGTGCAGCGCTGCCCTGGCCGACGAGGACCACGCCCTGCACCCGCCCCTGCAGCGTATGTTTGAACGCTTGGCCTCCCAGGCCTTGGAGCCCATGGTGCTGAGGTTAGTAGATTCGTCTTGGCATTTGCGTAAGTAAAGGCAGTTCTCAGAGCCTCTGCATGTGAGCCGAGGGGTTTTGCACTCTATTCTGACCTGTGGTGAAGGCCTGAGGTCTCGGGTACCCAGGAAGCTAGAGCAGGGGAATCACAAATGCTGGCCTGACTGGCGGTGATAGTCTGGGGACCTTAGTGCCATGCTGTCTCACAAGGGAAAGTGAGTGGAGCCTGAGGGTGTGGCTCAGCGGGAGCGCGCTTGCCTGGCATGCAAGAAGTCTCAGGTTCAGTTCCCAGGACCACAAGAAGTAACAGGTTTTCTTTCATGGACTTTAATATATGTTCAGCTAAATGTGGATAAGCCACAACCAGAATGGACAGACTGTTTGGATGTGCCACAATTCTAGACCTAGCACTCATGATACAAAGCGGAGGATTGTGGGTTAAGGCCAGATTGGCAAACCATGGTGGCACCTTGTCTTTATAGATAGACAGATAGAGAGATAGACGGATGTGCAGGAGGGGCTTACTAACAGCATTTTTATCTGTGGATGATTTTTCCCCTTGAATTTAGAAAGCTCATTTTCCTTTAACATAATACCATACTTCGTAAGAATAGGAATTCCTTTGTATTTAATTGAATTTACTTTGTATTTAAGGGTGTTTTGTAGTTAGACCTCTTTTTAAAATGGGCCTAGAGAGGTTGCTTAGCCGTTATGAGTGCATACTGCTCTTTCAGAAGACCCAGCACCCACGTCAGGCTTCCAACAACTGCTTTCCAGCTCCAGGGCATCCAACACCTCGTCTGCCCTCTGTAGACATTACACTTACCCACAAACCCACACAGACATATAGACACATGCATAAGGTGGAAAGTCAAATAGAATCGTTAAGAAAGACTTCACAAAGTGAAATATGTATGTAGTTATATACCCTAATAAACTTTATTTTAAAGTAATTCTATTTTTACACTTCTCTCACCCAGTTTTCTCCTCTGGTCTCATCTTCTGTCAGTGTATCACAGTATCAACAGGAAACTGACATCATATGATTTGCCCGCATGGACATTTAATTCTTCTTTTTGAGATCCATGTATGGGGACCTCCTTCTTTTAGGAGATGAGCATTTAGATAGTGCAGGCAGTTTATTGCCTGCAATCCTCTTGTCGCAGAGTCCTGGGTGCTGGGATTACAGGCACATACTAGGTGTATTTTACGTAACCAGTGTCTTGTGTGTGCTCCCCCTGTCCTGTCCACTCCTGCCCTCCCACCATCCTATGTACACCACTGCTCTGCTCTCCAGCGCTAGAATGTTGTCCTCTTGAAAATGTTTTGTTTGCATAGACACTATACAATATGTGACATTTAAAGGTTGATAATATTTATTGTCATTATGCTCCTAAGATGCACATGAGTTTAAAGTAGATCATTCATGTGCTCCTATGTATTGTTGAATAATATTCTATGGTGTGAACATACTGCAGTTTGTGAATCACTCAAAATTGTTATATATGTGTTTGTCTATGCATGTGTGTGTATGTGTGCATGTGTGTGTGTGTGTTTGCTGAGAATCAACCTAGGGCTCATGCCTGCTACATCTCCAGCTCAAGAAGAATGTATGTTTTGATTCAAGAGAAAAATGCTGTTTTAACAAATGAAGCTTGGTTAGTTTTTAAGCTTTTTTCTGGGGCTAGTGCAGTGGCTTAGCAGTTAAAATCTTTGGTTGCTATTGCAGCAGAGTCTGGCTTGATTTCCAGAACACATATGGGGACTTATAGCCCTCTTTAACTCCATGTCCAGGGCCTCTGTGGACACCAAGCACATAGAGGCCTAACACCCAAACACATAAAACTAAAATAAATCTTTTTTTTTAACACTTCTGTTTCTTTGAAATCAGAAAGTGAAGTAGATCTAGGAATACGTTCCATTGTTTCTTCTTTTAAACATGTACCTGTAGCTTGTTGTTCCAAGACCATACACTTCTTCCTGATTATTCTGTTCTCGTGTTAAAGTACTGTTATCACGCAACTTAAAAGGTTTTAAAAAAAAAAATAGTTGAGATTGTGATTTTTTGTGCCCATTCCAAAGTTATTGTTGATTAAGAAAAATACTCGACGTAAACATGAGCCAGACAGCATTGTATCTGATGGTGTGGTGCCTTAGGTGACAGGCTGCGAAGGAAGCCTACTGTGTGACTCCGACAGGGCTCTCTGCACCTCATCCAGGAGGACGTGCTTAACAGCTTGTATCTCCTAGCTCTTGCAACACCTTACACTTTCTGACTTAGAATAAGAACAGAAGTGGCTTATGTGTAACTGTTGTAGGTGTGGGATCTTGTTCCTCTGAGGCGTAAGAAAATGTCCGTAACCAGATAATGTAAGGCGCTTTATCACAGAAGCAGGAAATTAAAATACTATATAGTAAATTCTCTAACATCAGTGTTATTTAGGAATAGCAGTTTAGAAGTAGAATATGGAAGGCAGTTAAACAGATTAAATCCAGGGGGAAGCTCTTTGCAGTGAGAAAGTCAGAAGTGATGGTCCAGTAAACAGTACCACACTCATGAAATGAACAAGTCACGTTTGTGGGTGTGGTGAAAAGTGGGTGCGATGAAGCTGGACTAGAGGGTAGATTTTACGTCACCTGTGGCCTTCCGTGCTGGGCAGCCAGGGCCTCCACATGCCAGGCGTGAGCAGCCACTGAAGTCTTGAGCTAGGCAGTGACGGTCTGCAGGTTGGAATTTTGAAGGACACCGATGAGCAGATTGTGTTGGGACAAGGTGGGAGTCACAGGACGTGATAAGGATGCTTCTTGGATACAAAGACCGGGTGGTGAGTCAAGGCTGTATTAGAGGACTGAAGATGAAGGGGCGTGTCAGGGACAGTTTTAGGAAGTAGGTGCAGATTTGGGGGATTTTGTGAGTGTAGAAAGCAAAAGTAAATGAGAAGAATCCAAACATTTCGGTGGTACTGGGCAGCGGGTGACGTGTGGGAGTGCGGCACTTTGGCGTGCACAGCAGATGGACAGGTGTGTGGTGATTAGAGTCTGAAGTTAGCTTCACGCATAGCTTCATAATAACTTCCTTTTGTGCGGTAACTACTCCCTTATCATTCATTATGCCTCGCCCCCGACCCCTTGATGTGGTGTCTTGTTCTAGAATGTCCTCAGTCAAGGAGTAACTTCGCTTTCTCTCCTTTAGGGAGTTTCTGCGTTTGGCAAGCCCTTTGAACTGTGGTGCCTGGGACAAAAAACTGCTGAAACAATACAGGGTTCACAAACCAAGCTCGCTGAGCTATGAACCGGAGATGAGAAGTAAGCGGAGCTTTGAAATGCTGTGCCTTGCCTTATTTGGTTAATGAAATCCGTGTGGTGTTGGATATGTAGCAGAGTTTTTAAATGAAAAGAGACTAGCAGATTAGCCCCTGGCGTGGAGGAGGAACACCTTTATCTCCAGGGAGATATCTCCACACTCTCTTTCCCCAGCGACCTTTGAATGTTTAAATGGCGCAGGGTACCTAGAGGGTGGGAAATTAGAAATCACAACAAAAATACGATTGGGCCTGAGAGGGAAAGAAGGGAAGCCAGGTGGCTTCTGGTGTCAGGTGTCCCGTGGTTGGAGGGCAGGTGTCCTGTCATGGAGGGCAGGTGCCTTGTAGTTGGAGGGCAGGTGCCCTGTGATGGAGGGCAGGTGCCCTGTGATGGAGGGCAGGTGCCCTGTCATGGAGGGCAGGTGCCCTGTCATGGA